ATATTACTTCTGATGGTTTTCAAGCCTTTATTAAGGGAGAGTCAGAAATTAGACCAAAACCGGGTAATATGGGGACCCTACTCCGGAGCGTTACCCTATGATCCTGTAAGCAAGACCATATACAATTACTCGGAGCAGCAGCAGCCACTACTCCTCGAGGTGATCTGCAATGGGCGACGCCTCCAGGCAATGGTGGACAATGGAGTGTCCCACTCAGTGTGCGACCGCGAGACGTTGGAGAAAAGTGGGGAGTCCTTGGAGGAGACTCAGTTTACAGCAACGATGGTGGACGGTACGAAGCTTCCCATCCACGGCAAGTCAACACTGCAGCTGCAGATAGGGGCATTGAGGTGGAAGCCAACGTTGCCAATCACGAACATCAAGGGATTAGATTTCATCTTGGGGCGTGATTTTCTGAAGCAGTTCAACCCCTATATAGACTAGGTCAACCGGAAGGCGAGCATCTACAACAATGGGAAACGCGTGGAGTTGCGAAGCTGGACGGATACAGGGGATGTTCCTGAAACGACACTTGCACGGTTCGAACGTACAGTAAACGAGAGTAACACAGGTTACTTAGCACTGGTGATGGCAGCAGCAGAGGAGGAGAAGCCGAGTTCGGAGCTACCTGCAGCAGTACAAAGACATCATGCCGGATGACCTGCCTGTATGAGTTCCTCCAGCGCGATCCCACGAGCACGAGATCGTGGAGGAACCAGGTGCGAAACCCGTCTCCCGTGCACCATACCGCCTTAGTCCGACCAAACTCACAACCATGAAGAAACGAATTGAATACCTACTGGACAAACAACTGATCCGCCCATCCACCTCTCCCTACAGCGCACCGGTCCTCTTCACGCCTAAGCCAGACGGTAGTTTACGAATGTGCATCGACTACCGGGCCCTGAACAAACAGACAGTCAAGAACAAATACCCCATACCACGCATGGACGATGTTCTAGACCAACTTCGTGGTGCAACAGTGTTCTCGAAGCTGGACCTACGGTCGGGTTACTGGCAGATCAAGATGGCAGACAAATTGATCCACAAGACGGCGTTCCGTACGAGATACGGCTCCTACGAATACTTAGTGATGCCGTTCGGACTCTGCAACGCACCGGCGACGTCCCAGGCAGAGATAAACTACATCCTATGGCCCCTCCTGGACGAGTGCGTAGTAGTGTACCTGGACGACATTCTCATCTACTCCAAAAACATGAAGGAGCACGTGGAGCATCTGCGGAAAGTCTTCGAGATCCTGCGGAAGAACAAGTTCTACGTGAAGCTGTCAAAGAGCGGGTTCGCCCTGAAGTGTGCAGTTTCTCGGACACATGGTGAGTGCCGAGGGCGTACACGTGGACCCACGGAAGATCGAAGCCGTCAAGAAGTGGAAAGTTCCGGAGAACGTGAAGGAGTTGCAGTAGTTCCTAGGCTTCGCCAACTACTACAACAGGTTCGTGCCACAGTATGCTAAGGTAGTAGCGCCACTGACGAACTTATTTAAAAAGGATACGCCCTATAAATGGGTTAGTCCTCTACAGCAAGCCATGGAGCAGCTACAGACAGCACTGACTACAGCGCCAGTACTCATCCTACCGGATCCAGACAGAGATTACGTGGTGGAAGCAGACGCTAGTGACTAGGCAGTCGGAGCAGTACTGATGCAGGATCACGGACGCGGTTTGCAGCCCATCGCCTACCTCAGTAAAAAGCTACATGGAGTAGAACTGAATTACCCAATCCATAACAAGGATGCCTTAGCAATAGTCATAGCCTTCAAGGCATGGAGGTGTTACCTAGAGGGAGCCAAAACTACAGTCTACACCGACCACTGCAGTCTCAAATACCTGAAGTTGCAGCCTACACTCTCACGACGACAGTTGCGGTGGATGGACTTCCAGCAAACACACTTCCACAATGACATCGTCTACAAGCCCGGGCTACACAACAAGGCAGACGCGTTGAGCGGCCCCAGACTTGTAGCAGGCATCCAGCTTGACGGGATGAACCCTCTGCTCAAGGGTCTATTCCAACATGGATACTCCGTGGACGCAGAGATTGCTACAACAAAGAAACAGAATCTGTTATAGTGGGAGAAGGACTTAGCTGTAAAAAATGGATCAGGAAAGATTTGGGTGCCGAACTATGCCCCGCTCCGACAGATCTTACTGGAGGAGTTCCACGACGTGGTATACAAGGGACATTTTGGAAACAATAAGACGTTAGCAGGGATAGCAAAATATTACTACTAACCCCAGATGGCAGCAGAAGTGCAGCAGTTCGTCACCTCATGCGACACGTGCCAGCGGATGAAGAGTAGCAAGCAGAAAAAAGTAGGGTTACTTCAGCCTCTACCCATATCGGATCAGCCATGGCAAGTCGTCAGCCTAGACTTCATCACTTGGGTTCCTTCGACCTCACGAGGGCATGATGCTATACTCGTGGTGATCGATAAGTTCTCTAAAATGGGACACTTCATTCCGACCAACGCCACGGCTACAGCTGAAGTAACTAGTCGCCTCTTTTTTCGACCACATCATCACCATCCACGGCATCCCCGCTACACTTATCTCAGACATGGACCCTAAGTTCACTAGTAAGTTCTGGAGGGAACTCACAAAGCTTGCGATCTCTTCGGCGTGCCACCCCCAGACTGATGGGCCGACTGGGCGACTCAATCAGGTGGTTGAACAGTTACTGCGCACAGCTTGCAAGGACGACATCAGCCACTTGGGTCTACAGTTACCGACGCTTGAGTTCGCTTACAACAACGCTTCACACACGGCCATAGGGAAATCTCCGTTCTTCATGTGCTACGGACGGGAACCACTTACACCACAGCAGCCAACCACACCGGCACACGTCCACATCGCACACGACTTCGTCACCACCATGCAGCAGCTATAGGAGAAAACTCAGCGCCGTCTCACCACGATGCAGACCTCCCAGAAGCAGTATGCCGATCGACAGCGACGAGATCACTCAGTAGCAGTCAGAGATCAGGTGCTTCTCGCACACAACTTGGACTTGTCTCACCACCCGTCTAAGCTCCGGCCTCGCTTCTGAGGTCCCTTTTGCGTTAAGGCGATGGTGACTCCATTTACATTCTGCTTGCGCTTACCCACTACGTAGAAGCTTCATACCGCTTTCCATGTTCAGCTGCTGAAGCCCTACAAGGACCCCAACCAACAGTTCCAGGGACGCCAGCTACCACCACCACCACCACCTGTTCTTGTACAGGATGAACCAGAGTACGAGGTGGAATGAGTTCTCGCTCATCGACGCAGACGCGGCAACACGCTCGAGTTCTGCGGTGTAGTCACGGCGATCTTGTCCGGCAAAAATTTGAACTAGCCGTACGCCGGTGCGATCCCGCTAGCCGTCACACGCGTCGTTGATGTGGGCCTCCCACTTCTTCGTTGGGGAGAGCGACGTCGTCTGTCGACGTCGACACACGAGCTGTCAGCAGCCGCCGTCGACCGCTGCACTCGCGCCTGGCTCCCGCCGACTTCACCGTCGACGGCTCTCCTAATCACTCCCCTTGGTTTCGTTGTGCCCTCGTTGTCGCTGACTTGTTCACTGCCATCTGTCAAACATTATGCATGTTGTAGCTTTGTAGGCTACAGTGGGTTTAGCCTTAGGGGGTACAGAAGTCTAGGGTTTCATATTTGTACTCCCATTGATGTTAGTCACACCATTCTCGTTCTAACTTTCACATGGTATAGAGCAGGTTCCCTCGTGGGAACTGTTCCTAGGGCCCACCGTAACTTTTTTTTTTCCCTGCCCGGAGCGCGCTCGGCCCCTGCCCGAGTCGCGCCCCCCCCTCGCCTCCCTTAGCGGCCCCGTCGCGCCGCCCTTTAGGCCCCGACGCCGCCTCTGCTGGCCCCGCGGCCCTACCCTCGCGACCCCGCGGCCCCACCCTCGCGTCGCCCTGCGCGGCGCCGTTCCAGCCGCCCGCGACCCCAACGCCGCCCGTCGCGACCCCGTCGCCCTTCGCGCCGCTCGCGACCTCGTCGCCGCGGCCGCCCGCGACCCTTCCGCTGCGGCCGCCCGTGACCCTGGCGTCGCAGCCGCTTGCGACCCTACCGTCGCTGCCGCCCGCGACCCTGCAGTCGCAGCCGCCCGCGACCTCGTCGTCGCAGCCGCTCGCGGCCCCTGTCGTCGCAGCCGCCCGCGACCCCGTCGCCCCACCCGTGCGACCCCACCGCCGCCCTTTGCGGCCCCGTCGCCACGCCTTTGCGGCCACGCCGAGCAGCCGAGCCGCCGAGACGCTGCCGCAGCCGAGCCGCCGAGCCGCCTTTGCCGCTGGGCTGCCGGGCTACCGAGCCGCCCCTGCCGCCGTGCTGCCGAGCCGCCGAGACGCCGCCGCCGCTGAGCTGCCGAGCCGCTGAGCCGCCGAGCCGCCGTTCCTGCTGTCGCGGCCCTGTTCCTGCCGACGCGCCTCGGTCCTTCTCGCCTGCCCGGTAAGAGCAGCGCCTCCACCACTGCTCTGCCCCTGCCTGCTGCTCTCACTGCTAGTCTACTGCTGTCATGGCTTCCCCCAGTGTCCTCACCTTTGACACCGAGGGCCGGGCCATTGACTTTGACGTCTGGGTAGATGACCTGCAGCTTTTCCTACTGAGCGACAGAGCAGACGGCCTCTCCCTCTTTGACCTCACTTCTGGTGCCTCTCCTGCCCCTGCTGCTGATGCTGACCCCACTGTTCGCTCCCAGTGGGCCACGCGCGATGCTGCTGCCCGCCTTGCTGTGCGCCGCCACTTGCCGACCGCTGAGCGTGCACACTTTAGCCAGTACAAGAGTGCTAAGACCTTGTACGACGCTGTAGTTGCACGCTACTCTTCCCCTGCCACTGCTGCGCTTAGCCGCCTCATCCTACCGTACCTCTTCCCTGACCTCGCCGCTTTTCCCACTGTCGCTGACCTCATTACGCACCTTCGCACTAGTGACACTCGCTACCGCGCTGCGCTTCCTGCTGAGTTCTGCGCCAAGAACCCCCCCCCATGTACATCACCCTCTACTACATAGTCACCCGGCTCCCTGACACCCTTCGCCCGGTCAGGGACCACTTCCTCTCTGTTTGCCCCACCACCCTCACCGTTGACTTCCTCAAGGAGCGCCTTCTAGCGGCAGAGAAGAGCATAGTCGCTGTAGGTGCTTCTCGTGGTGACCCTCGTACCCCTGTCTTTGAGGGGTGCTCCCCCTCTCCCCTCTTGCCCTCTGTTGCCTCTGCTGCTGCGGCCGACCTCGTTGGTCTTGAGTCGGTCGCTGCGGCGTCTGCCCCTAGCGGGAGACGCCGCCCTGGCAAGGGCAAGGGGGGCAAGGGTGCTGGAGGAGCTAGCGGGGGCGGTGGAGGCAGAGGTGGAGGTGGTGGATGGGGTGGGGGTGGCGGTGGGGGTGGTGGCGGGGGTGGGGGCGTCGGTGGCGGGACTGGAGGTGGAGGTGGAGGCGGCGGTGGCGGTGGGAGCGGAGGTGGCGGAGGTGGCGGTACTGGAGGAGGTAGCGGCGGAGGCGGTGGAGCTGGTCGGGGTGGCGCTGCGCAGAGGGGTGGCTCCGGTGGTGGTGCGCGCCAGCAGCAGCAGCAGCAGCGTACCCGTGAGACCCCTTCCCCCCAGCAGCTTCGTGAGTGGTACGCTGCTCGTCAGCGGGGCGGGGGTGCTGGCCCCTGTACCTACGTTCTCCGTACATTAGAGCGACCGGGCGGGTGAGCAGTGTGGGGGCGCGCACCCCACCCAGCGCTGCTTCGGTCGTCTGACGGACGCGTGGCGCCACCAGTTCCCCGACGCTACTGAGATCCCTCGCTGGGGCGAGCTGTCTAGGGCGGGTGTTGCAATCTATGATCTTGATTTTGATGCTATTCTTGCTGCCATGTATGCTGTGACTATTAGTGATGAGGGTGACTGTTACCGGTGTTTCCCGCCTGACCCAGGCATAGAGGCTGCTGCGCTAGGTACTTGTGAGGCTGCTGCTCTAGGTGCCAGTGCGTCTGCTGCCCCAGGTGCCGGTGAGTTTGCGCTCTCAGGTGCTGCGTCGTCCCCGGACACCCACACCTTCACCCTTGACTCGGGTGCTTCCCGCTCCTTCTTTCGAGACTGCACCACTCTCACACCGCTCAGTCGGCCTGTTGCGGTCTCCCTGGCGGACCCCTCTGGGGGTCCTGTCTGTTAAACTGTATTATGCTTGTAGGCTGTAGTGGGGTAGCCAATATGGGGTACAACCCCAACTAGGGTTTCATATTTGTACCCAAACTTCTGCTAGTTCATCATTCTTGCCTAGTGATTCTGACATGGTATTCAGAGCAGGAGGTCCCTAGGACCTACCGACCGTTTTTTAAGGGCCCACCACTGCTCGCATGCGGTTACCACGCTACCCCGTGCCCTAGCCTCGTAGCGCCCTCGTGCGCCCTCGTTAGCGCCCTCGCGCGCCCCTCGTTAGCGCCCTCGCGCGCACCCTCGTTAGCGCCCTCGCGCGCCCCTTCGTTAGCGCCCTCGCGCGCCCCTTCGTTAGCGCCCTCGCGCGCCCCTTGCTAGCGCCCTCGCGCGCCCCTCACTAGCGCCCTCGCGCGCCCCTCGCCGAGCCGCCCGCTCGCAGCCCGCCCGCCCGCTCGCTGCCCGCTTCGCGGCCCGCTCGCTACGCAGCCCGCCCGCCCGCTCGCTGCCCGCTTCGCGGCCCGCCCGCTTCGCAGCCCGCTCGCTCGCTGCCCGCTTCGCGGCCCGCCCGCTTCGCAGCCCGCTCGCTCGCTGCCCGCTTCGCGGCCCGCCCGCTTCGCAGCCCGCCCGCCCGCTCGCTGCCCGCTTCGCGGCCCGCCCGCTTCGCAGCCCGCTCGCCCCGCTGCCCGCTTCGCGGCCCGCCCACTTCGCAGCCCGCCCGCCCGCTAGCTGCCCACTTCGCGGCCCGCCCGCATCGCAGCCCGCTCGCCCCGCTGCCCGCTTCGCAGCCCGCCCGCCCGCCCGCTGCCCGCTTCGCGGCCCGCCCACTTCGCAGCGTCGCCCGCTCGCCGTGCTGCCCGCTTGCAGCGCCGCCTGCCCGCCGCGCTGCCCGCTTCCCGGCCCGTCCGCCGCGCTGCCCGCTCGCAGCGTCGCCCTCCCGTCGCGCTGACCGCTTGCAGCGCCGCCTGCCCGTAGCGCCAGCCTCGCCCGCTGCTCTCTATCCGTGCACAGTCGCCTTCCCCTGCTGCGGCAGCTTGCGTTACTCTGTCACACTGTCGCTATGGCTTCCATCCGCGTGCTGTCGTTCGATGCTGAGGGCCGCCCTGTGCGGTTCACCGCTTGGCTAGATGACCTGCAGCTGTTCCTCCTGAGCGATAGCAAGGAGCATGTGTCGCTCTATGATTACGCGTCTGGTGCTGCGCCTGCCCCTCCTGCCACAGCTGAGCTTAGTGTTCGTTCCCACTGGCAGACTCGTGACGCAGCTGCTCGCCTAGCCATTCGCAGTCACCTGCCGTTAGCTGAGCTAGAGCATTTTGGCGACTGCAAATCCGCTAAGGCCCTGTACGACGCTGTCGTCGCTCGCTACTCCTCGCCTGCCACAGCCGAGCTTAGCCGCCTCATGCTGCCGTACCTGTTCCCCGATCTGTCCACCTTTACTACAGTCGCCGATCTTATCACCCACCTTCGCACTAGTGATGCTCGCCTGCGTGCCGCCCTTCCCACCGAGTTCTGCGCTAAGAACCCCCCTCCACTGTACTGGACACTCCACTTCATAGTCACCCGTCTCCCTGACACCCTCCGCTCAGTTCGAGACCACTTCCTTGCTCGCTGTCCCACTGAGCTCATAGTCGCCCTCCTAGAGGAGCACCTGCTCGCGGCCGAAAAGAGCATTGTAGCTGTCGGTGCTGCTCGTGGCGCTCCTCGCACCCCCATCTTTGAGGGGTGTTCTCCCTCTCCCCTCGCTCCCTCCTACGCTGCTGCTGCTGCTGTTGACTTCCTTGGTGCTGAGTCTGTTGGCGCTGCTTCTACTCCTGGTGGGAGGCGCCGCACCGGCAAGGGCAAGGGGGGCAAAAGTGGTGGTGGTGGCACTGGGGGGGGAGGAGGTGGGGGAGGTGGGGGGGGAGGCGGTGCTGGAGGGAGCGGTGGCGGGAGCGCTGGTGGGAGTGGGGTCGGTGGTGGAGACGGGGGCGGCGGAGGAAGCAGTGGCAGTAGTGGCGGCGGCGGCGGTGGCGGCGGTGGCGGTGGTGGCGGTGCCGGTCGGAGCGGTGGTAGTGGTGGCGGCGGAGGTCGGAGTGGAGGCACTGGCTCGGGCCAGAGCTCCCAGCAGCAGCAGCGTCCCCAGACGACCCAGCAGCTTCGTGAGTGGCTTGCTCAGCGTGGGACGTCGGGGGCCAGTGCCCGCTGTTCTTATGTCATTCGCACAGGTGACCGCAAGGGACAGACGTGTGGGAGGTTCCACACCCCGTACCGCTGCTTCTCCCGCCTTGACGACGCTTGGCGTGAGGAGATGGGTGCGGATGTTGAGCGCCCCCGCTGGGCTGAGCTCATGAGGGCTGGTGTTGATGTCTTTGCTCTTGACTATGATGCTATTATTGCTGCCATGTATGCATTGACTGTTAGTGCCGAGGGAGACTGTTACTTGTGTGTGCCGCCTGACCCAGGTATAGAGCCCGCTGCCCTGGGTACTAGTGAGTCTGCTCTCTCTGGTATGGTGCCCCCTGTACTTGCTCCCCCCAGTGCTGTCCCGGCTGGTTTCGAGTCTGCTCTCTCAGGTACAGCACCCACAGAGACTCCTCTCTCAGGTACCGCACCGGCTGAGGCCTGTCACACCTTCACCCTTGACTCAGGTGCTTCCCGTTGCTTCTTCCGTGACAGTACTGAGCTCACACCGCTTCCTGCACCGGTCCCAGTCTCCTTGGCTGACCCCTCTGGGGGCCCAGTCCTTGCCCAGTCCACCACTGTCCTCCCTTGTCCGGCGGTTCCGTCTGGCTCGTTGTCGGGTTTCCACCTCCCCTCGTTCTCGACGAACCTGGTGAGCAACGCTGTCCTCCAGGATCAGTGGGTTGACACCTTTACCCCTGGCGGACAGCGTGTGGCGATCTGCACGTGCTCCAGGACCGGCCGTCACCTGGCTACGTTCACCCGTCGGCCGGGGTCGAGTCTCTACACACTGACCACTGCGTCTCCCCAGGTAGCTGCTGTCGGTCAGGTGTCTGCGTCAGGTCTGGTGGCCCACGCCTGTGAGTGTCGTTCCCTGTCGCACCAGACTCTTCTCTGGCACCACCGCCTGGGTCACCCCTCCTTGCCACGCCTTCGTGGCATGCACCGTCGCCTCCTTGTGTCCGGTCTTCCCAGGTCCCTCCCTCCCCTCCCTGCCTCGCCTGCGCCGCCTTGCCTTCCTTGCGTCGAGGGGCGGCAGCGCGCCGCTCCTCACTCCTCCTCGTTCCCCCCGACAGAGGCTCCTCTGGAGACCCTCCACCTGGACGTGTGGGGCCCAGCCCGCGTTCGTGGTCAGGGCGGTGAGCGGTACTTTTTGCTGGTTGTCGACGACTACTCGCGTTACACCACGGTCTTCCCCTTGCGCACCAAGGGTGAGGTCCCTGCTGTTCTGATCCCTTGGATCCGCACGGTTCGTCTCCAGCTCCGCCGCCGTTTCCGGACGGATCTTCCTGTCCTGCGTCTGCACTCTGACAGAGGTGGTGAGTTTTCCTCCGATCTCTTGAGGACCTTCTGTCAGGCGGAGGGCATCGAGCAGACCTTCACGCTTCCGGACTCCCCACAGCAGAATGGGGTTGCTGAGCGCCGCATTGGCCTGGTCATGGAGGTCGCTCGTACCTCCTTGGTCCACGCGGCGGCTCCCCATTTTCTGTGGCCGTTTGCTGTCCGGTACGCCGCGCATCAGCTCAACCTCTGGCCCCGTGTCTCCTTGCCGGAGACCTCGCCCACACTGCGTTGGACGGGGGAGGTTGGCGATGCGTCGCGCTTCCGGGTGTGGGGTGCTCATGCCCTTGTCCGCGATACGTCCGCGGACAAGCTCTCCTCCCGCACGCTTCCCTGTGTCTTCCTTGGCTTTGTCCCTGACGCGCCTGGCTGGCAGTTTTACCACCCCACCTCGCGCCGGGTCTTCGCCTCTCAGGATGTCACCTTTGACGAGTCGGTCCCTTTTTACCGTCTCTTCCCCTACCGCACTGCCCCCCTCCCTCCCCCGCCGCTTTTCCTTGCTCCTGGTCCCCCTCCGGTAGACCCCCTTCCCCCTCAGGGTCCTGCTCCTTCAGGTGTCTCTCAGGTAGACCCTCCTCCCGTCGCTGAGCCTGTCGAGGTCACAGGTGACTCAGGTGCTGCTGCGGGTGGTGCTGCTGGGAGTGCTGAGCCTGGGGGTGCTGAGCCTGGGGGTGCTGGGCCTGGGGGTGCTGGGGCTGCAGGTGCTGGGACTGAGGGTGCTGGAGTTGAGGGTACGGTGCCTGAGAGTATGGAGCCTGGGGGTGCTGCGCCTGGGGGTGCTGAGTCTGCGGGTGCGGGGCCTGGGAGTGCTGGGACTGCGGGTGCTGGAGCTGAGGGTACTGTGCCTGAGAGTTTGCCGCCTGGGGGTGCTGCGACTGGGGGTGCTGAGCCTGCGGGTACTGAGCCTGCGGGTACTGAGCCTGGGGGTGCTGCTACTGAGCCTACGGAGCCTCGGGTTACTGCGTCTGGGGGTGCTCCGGTTCGGGGTGCTGAGCAGTCTCTCACACCGCAGCAGCTTCGCGACTGGTACGTCCGACGCTTTCGCCGTCCTAGTGGCTCGGCTGGAGTTTGGGGTGCTGGAGCTGCTCGTCCTGGGGGTGCTCGTACTGGGGGTACTGGAGCTGCCGGGACTGGCTGTTCTGGGAGCACTGTGACTGGAGCTGCTGGAGCTGGGGACTCTGGCGCTGGCGGTGCTAGCGGAGTTGGAGCTGCCGACTCTGGGGGTGGCGCTGCGGCTGGTGCTGCGGACCCACCTGGTGGAGCTGCTGCTGGTGCTGAGGAGTCGGACGGTGGAGCTGCTACTGGTGCTGAGGACCCGGCCGCTGGAGTCCCGTCTGCTTCTGGAGACGCTGCGCGGCCGCGACCGTACTTCGTACCGCTCCTTCAGCAGGTTCTTGGGCAGGCTCCTCCTCCTTGTCCTCCTCCCTCCGTAGAGTGTCCTCCGCCTGTCCAGCCGCAGTCACAGTTACCGCCTGCCTCGCCTCTCCCTGCTCCCTCTCCTTATACTGGTCCCACAGG